ACAGGGGATTGCTGTACCCTGGGAGTGCCTGATCCCCAGCCCTTCAGCTTTGGGTGTTAACTAACACTTACAGGGTGTTGACTGAGCTGTGCTGCCCAAAACTCCGCCCCCCCCCTCGGGCAAGGCTGCCCACCACCTCATTAGCAATGCTGACCACTGGCTGAGCCCAGCTCTGTCCCAGATTTCATCTGCCAACATCGCTTGCAGAGGGGAGAGCAGCCAGACCAGGACAGGAGGCTCAAGAAGGCAATCCCAACACATGGGGAGCTTAGGCAATAGAACTGTCATTGAGTTCAAAATTAATCTGGGCTACATAGTTAATTGGGGTCAGCCTGGGCTACAAAATGAGTTTGAAGTCAGTGAGTTCAAAGCTACCTTGGGCTACATAGTAAGCTGAGACCCTGCCTAAACAAACTTTCTCCAACCCTATCCCTAAGAACAATTGGGAGGGCATAGTAGCAATGTCTGTAGAGCTGGAGTCAACATGCTGCCTTCTGGCTTGAGAGTCCCTGGACTGGACTGCCTCCAGCCTCAGGTATGGGGGTAGGACTCCTCCTCAGGAACTGGGCCCCAGCATAGGCCACTTGTGAGAGCCTAGGATGGTGCCTTTACGTTCAACTTCAGTGTTCACCTCTGGGAAATGGAACCCAGCTCATCCGTGGGCATGCAGTCGGAATGACACGTTACCATATCCCAGCCATGTGCAGGGAAGCAGTGGACAGTTCACTCTGCCCAAAACACTCAGGTACCTGAGGGTGGTGCACTTCACTGACAGGCCCTTCCCTAAATCCTCCTTCCAGCTGTCACTCATCAGTGGGTACATGCATGGCCTACTTGAGTCTGCTGCCTGGCAGGCTTCTCGATGTAGGTCCATGTCCCTCTTAGCAGTGTGTGATGGCTACTTCCTCTGAGACTGCTCCATAGCTGGGCTATCACATAGTCAATGTACTGATCCACTCAGCAGCTGGTCCAAGTGATGTCTATATCACTATGCCCATTGCTCAGAGATATGCAGTGATCTCCTCAAGGTCAAGCAGCTCAGGAAAGGCACATCTGGCTGGGACTTGAACTCATTCCTAGTGGACGTCAAACACTGCTCTTAGCCACCAAGATGGTCAGGGTACCCCAAGATATGCTTCTTTCCAGTCTCCTCTCTACACACGGGACCCTCCCACTGGGGCAGAGCCATTTGTGCTGTTATTCTTGATAGCCAACTTGAGAAAACCTAGACTCATTTTGGAGACAAATTTCTGGGCATGTCTGCCAGAGGGTGTCTAGATTAGGTTAGTCGAGGTGCAAAGACCCACCCTAAATGCAGACAGCACCAATCCATGAGCTGGGGTCCCAGACTGAAGAAAAGGCACACAGTGAGCTAGGGACCAGCATCCATCCCTTCTGCACACTGAGGGTGCAGGGTGACCAGCTGCCTCACACTGTGGCAGACTGTATCCTAGAACTGTGAGCTAAAGCCAACCCTCCTTCTCCTTAAGTGGCTTTTGCTGGTATTTTGTCACAGCAGTGAGTAACTAACACAGCCTTCTTCTGAAGACCGGATGTAGCCAGGAAGTGCAATCAAACCCTGGGAGAGGGTATGATGGTCAGGCAGGATAGGATGGGGGGCACATGACTGGAGGTGGACCTGTGAGATCAGTTCTATTTAATTTTTTAGACAAGGTCTCTCTATGTAGATTGGACTGGCCTGGAACTCACAGAGATGGTTCATTGAGGTCAAGATTTTGTCTGTGGATTCAGTCTTATCCAAAAGGCAGCCGATCTTAAGTGCTCCACTCAGACATCTTTCCCCAGAACTCCTCCCTGACTTGGATGCCCTCTGACCTGACAACCTCAACCTGTCTGGCTAATTCGATGCTCTCTTGACCCCATCAATCCAACAGTCACATGGTCATACCTGTGTTTAAGCTTAACCTCATCTTATCTCCCTAGTATGACGCCAGCAACTGAGTGCGGGGAGTTGTTAAGATCTCCCTCAGCTTAGCTCCACCCACTGGGAATGTCACAGCTTGTTCCTGAGTATAGCAGGTATATCCTCTACATTCCTGTTTGTTTTTAAACAGGGTCTCATGCAGTTTCAGCTGGTTTAAAATCCTCTATGTAAACAGGGATGACCTTGAACTTCTGACCCTACTGCCTTCACGTCCCAAGTGCTGGGATACAGGCGCGTGCACCAACCGATCTACAGCCCCTGCCACAAAGGCCCTGCATTTGTGACATCTTCACCATGGCTATGTTGACCCTCCCTAAGGTTCTCACCCTTCTCTCTGGGTTATATCCCTTAATCCTTAGCCAGTGCTCACAGGTAGACACTGTTATCCCCATTCCAGGTAAGACAGTACCTCAGAAAGGACAAGACTCTCCACTAAGATGCACATCCAGGAGAGTGGGAACACGTGCCCTCCAGAACCTCCCTGTTAGTCTAGATGCTATCCGCAGTGACCTGCACCACCAAGCCTGACCCTGTCATTAGTTCAGGTGTGAACACCAACTCCACACCTGTCATTAGGAACCAGGTTGACAGGAGCAGCGGGGTTCACACCCTGCCTAACTAAAAGGCAGACAGACAGGGAGAGTGTGCCTCTCTGTTCCCTGACAGGGACTTGCGCTGTCCAAGCCTTTGGCTGCCTGGGTGGAACGTTCCCTCAGGCCTGCTGGGTCCCCTGAACTTGGAAAAACACTAATAACCCTTGCCTGGGTACTTCTGACATGCCGGGAATCTTTTCTCCTGCCCTCCACGGGTGAAAGGTTGATCATCCTGTACTTTGCAGGCAGGGGAAACTGAGGCTCAGAGCTTCCCACCATATAGTAAAACCAGGATGAGCAGGAAGCCTTTTGCTCCCTGGACCCAAGCTCCTACCCACTTTCCTCCAAGACTGCACTCTCCCTCAAACAGCAAGAGGAGCCACAGAGAACTCAGAGTGAGGGATAACTTAGGGGGATGTGCACTATGGCTAGCAACCGGAGTTTAGCACGATAAGGGGACATATACACCACCGCCGCCACCATCATTGTGTTTGCTACAGGGCTGGCTGGGCACCAGCCAATGTTACAGAGATTCTTTTAGTCCCAGTTCTGGAGAGGCTGAGGCAGGAGACTGCAAGGGGGTGGGGACAAGCAGAGGACACCCTAGGCTAGGAGACCATGAAGAGAAGTGTCTGGTTCTACTCAGGGCTGGGTGACCACAAGGACATGGGAGCCCAAAGGAGGCTTTACCCAGTTGTGGAAGCCCTCTAAGCTGAGGTCCACGCTAAGGCTGCCAGCCAAGGGCAAGATGGGACTGCCTAGGCCAGGAAGAGGGCAGGACTCCTGTACTTAACCACCCGCTCACTCGCAGAGTCCCCGCAGCTGGAAAAGATGGAACCCTTCCTTCCTCCCCTCCCTGATCGCTTGGCTTTGCTGTCAGGTCCCAGCCCAGGCCTTCAGGGCTGGAGGGCTGGGATGTGTGACTCTTTTCTTGTTGAGGACCACAGGGGCATGGAGTATCCGATTGTGCAATACTCAAGAGAGCAGCACAAGGACTGGCGGGGACCCCAGCTGGGTCTGGCAGCCAGCTGGACGAGCCACAGAGGAACAGTATGAAGGGCCTTGCCCAGCGTCTGGGGTTGTGAAAGACGGGGTTGATGAGGGGAGGGCAGAAGAGGGGAGGGGACCTCAGAACAAGGGAAGAAATTACCCTGAGCTTCAAACAGCCCTGTGAGTGGGACCACGGGGCAGCCGAATTCCTGAAAGCATAAGACCATGCGGGCCACTCTCCCGGCTGCAGTGCACAGGGCACCTGTCTCAGAGGCTCTGGGCCCGGAGTCCCTCCCGGCCACTCTTGCCTTCACACGGAGTCGGGGGGGGGGATGACCTGCTCATGGGCCAGTGGAGGACAGCGAGGTGTAGCATCAATCAGCCAGGTGAGCTGTGACATTTGCTACTTCTCATCTGCCTTAAGTCCTTTAGGGGACCCCCCCAACCCCCTAGTGAGGTATCAAGGCAGACAGGCACGAGTTCCACCTACTCCCTCAATCTCAGCAACTCCACCAGTCTCCCCCAAACCGGTTATTAAGGGAATGAATACATTAGGCTTATCAAAACCGACGTGGGTTGCTTCTCCATCCAGACGCATCAAGACATGTCATTCGCTTCTCGGGCGGCCCTGGGAACCCAGAGATCGCAGACGCGGCCAGTTTCGGGGCTGGGAGGGGGGACGGGGAGCGCCGGGAGCCACACCCCTCAGAAATCACGCAGTGAGAAAGAGGCCGGTCCCCACCCAGCCTCCGAAGAGCCTGGGCCCCCGCCGCCCCTGCACCCACCGCGTACTTTGAATGCTCCAGCACACGCAGGCAGGTGCAGCTCGGGGAGCGTTAGGACAGGTGGCCTTGGGGCCACTGCCACCATCTCTCTCAGCCCAACGCCAGCAGCACCTGTTCGGTCTACAAGTCCCTCACCCTACACCCAGCTTATGTTCTTTAAGTCTCAGGGTAGCCACACAACGCTTCACAACCGAAATTCCAGGCTCAGGACAACTCTACAGCTTGTACTCCTTACTCAAGTCCCCACCAACTAGGCCCCCAAGTAGCGCATCCTGTGGCTCGAGAATCCCTCGTGTCCCTCTTGCTGCCCCTCACCGGTTCCATCCCACCAGGGCAGAACTTCCCAGCTCCAGAGGCGTCCCCAAGCATCCCTGGCTCAGCGCCGAGTCTCCCGCATCCCAGCCCAGGGTGCCCCCTCACCTCCGGGTCTGCACGGTTGGGCTGTATTTGCCTTTGTTTCTCTTCCTGAAGAGCGAGTGCATGGTGGCGCTTGGGACGGAGGGACCTGGGACGCGGAGACAGGCCCGGCGCGCACCGAAAGCGGGCGGCGGGCTCAGGTGAAAGGCGGCGGCAGCGGCGGCGGCGGCGGCGCGCGGAGCCCCTAGTGAGGAGGGCCGCGGGTTCTGGTCACTACTGGGACAGGGCGGGGCGATCGCTGGCCACTCGCTTGCCTGCCGCTCCCCGGGAAGGTGGCGCTTACCTTGCGGGCGGGGCTTCAGGCGCGCTCCCTAGGTCCCCGCCGGACACCGCCCCCGCCGCCTGGTACTGCAGAGGCTGCGCAGCGGGTAGCCAGAACCGGGACTCCCAGTCCACCTGCGCCAGAGCACGAGGCCGCGCCCATCATGCATGTCGGGCCTGGCGCGCCCCCTGGCTGAAGGGCTTACCTGGGCTTACCGAGTCACCACAGACACTCCTCTTTTTATGACTCCCAGCTGGAACCTGAGTCAGAAGTGGGAGACTGGAGGTGGAGGTGGAGGTGGGGTCTCTGTGCCCTGCATGGTCAACAAATCGCACTCAAGGTGAGGGCAACGTGACGGGCGATGGCCACAGCCACAGAGTGGCACTGAATTCAGATCCTGTGGCCACCTATGGTCGGTCAAGATTTCTCTACCTCGGTTTCCTCCTTTGCCAAAGGATAACGACCCACATCCGGAAGGGCTATAGGAGATTCCTGAAGCTAATTCACCAAAGACCTTGGCACACAGTGCCAGCTCTAACAAGCAGGAAGCTTGGCCGCTACTGCCACCCAGGCTAACTGAGGCGGGGGTAGGGGGGAGCATAAATATCCCTTGAAACTTTCATAACCCCGGGCCCTGGCATGATAGAGACTTCATGGTAGGCCGTAAAAGCTGCTTAGTTCTGGCTGAGAATAGCAACGTTGCGCAATCCTGCCAGCATGTCCTGGCATGAGACCGGGCTGGGAGCAGGAAACTGGTAGTGGAAACACAGAGGTTTATTCCGTTCAGAGCTGTACTGGCATCCCAGGACCTCAGGGGGCCTGCAGCAAGGAACACGTCTCTGTTTTTGTTGACTGACGGAAAACTGAGTCTGGGTAGGAGTGCCAGTGGAAGAAACAGCTGAGAGTACTCAGTGCCACCCTGGGGTGGGTAAGGATAGGGGCGTGGGTGGGCGTGGGGGTGGGAGCTCATCTGGGAAGATGTGCTCTGGAGAGACACCATAGACAGCCAAAGGGCTTAGAGTTCAAGTGGGGAGGCCTTGAGAGTGATCAGGAACGGACAGCTGTGGGCCTTGGGTAGAGCATCAAGAGACTTGGATTCAAATTCAGCTGTCTGTCTCCAGTCTTGGTCCCGTGGGTTTAAAATAAGGAGGTTGGTGCTGGGGTGCGGGCATGGACATGGCTCAAGAGCTAAGAGAACATATTGCTCGTGCAGGGGACCCGTTAGTTCCCAGGACCCATGTTCTGGGACCTGAGGCCTTCTGGATTCCACAGGTACCTTCTGTGTTAGCATAATCTCGTGCCCGTACCCACACATGTACCCACACACATACACATAATTTAAAAAAATAAATATACTTTTTAAACTATGGAGGTTGAGTCGAGGAGTGCAGCTCGTGGGAGTTGGGGGTGGGAATAACTACGATACGCTTTTGTGTACATAGAAAACTGAGACACTGTTAGTTTCGATATCCCTGCGGAAGAAGGACACTCTGCACAGGGAAGGAGGGAGGCAGCTAGGACAGACCGGTGCTTTAATCTTCACTTGGTCTCTTTTCAGCTGTGGGGAACAATGAGCAAGCCCCTTTGCCTGTCTGGACCTCAGTTTTCTCCATCTGTGGAATGGGTCAAAGCCAAGTGACTGCGGTGGGATAAGAGCCCTCACAGTGAGTCCCTAGCACAGCCTGATTGTGATTAGAGAGCCCAACAAAAACAGGGACATGTCCTTTGCTGCAGGCTGTCAGCTTACTGGATACCAGGTACAGCTCTGACCAAAACTCCACATTTCCTCAAACACTAAAATCCTTTTCTCAAGAATTCCTGGGTAGGTGGGGGTGAAGTGCTTTGGGGAAGGCTCTGCACAGGGAGCTCCAGGCCCACAAGCTTGGAGTGCTGCAGAGAAACAACAGTGTTGATAGCATCTTACTGGGCTTCTCATCTCTGATGATCCACTCTCCTGAGTGCTGCCTTCGAAGTGAAGCCCCTGGCGCTCCCTGCTCAGGAGGGACCTGGGATCTTGGCTTTTTTCTTGGGAAGGGGCCATACCGAGAGACATTGCCTGACAGGTCTGTGGCCCCATCCGCCAGCTGCAAGTGCCCCAAGTCTGGACACCCCTCTCTCTACCCACCATAGCTCCCAGCTCCCAGGCTCAGGGCAACTGGGCCTGGTGCCCACTGACTCAGCTGGGCCCAGCCCAGGAGTGTTGGAGGGAATTAACAGATTAAGGGAGGAATTCCACTTGGCCCTCACCCACCTTCTCTCTCTGGATTCTAAAGCAGCCAGCCCAGAGCTGGTGCAGCTGTGTGTACATGCCTGGGTGTTTGTGCACGTGTGTATGCACATGTACTCCACACACATCTGTGGGCAGGCAGGATGGGGCTGGGACTCTGCCCTCACCCGTACATCCTCTGGGGACCAGATGGGGTTAGCTTGACATTGCCAAGCTGTCTTCTGCCAAGTGACTCATCCGCTCTGCTGTGGCGGGGGTGGGGAGGCCAGCACTGGGGATGGGTGGGTACTTGTTCCAGGATGGTCAAACCCCATCGAGGAGGCACCTGCAGGACCATCCAGTGCTCAGCAACCAGTGACCCTTGGCCTCTCATACCTGTCCCTTTCCAAAGCTGGGAGGAGGACTTCATTGTTGCTCTGTCTTCACTGTTGCAAGGGTCACCCACACCCTCCTTGTGCTCAGTATTTCCCCAGAAGTTGGAGAGGAATGCACACTCCATGCTCACTTTGAACCAGTTTAAAACAGGAAGAACGACATTCTCTCTGCCTGGGAACAGAGGGCCATGCTTACAGAGGACCAGGATGGAGCCTTCTCCTCCCAGGGTGGAGGCCCAGGGCCATCCTCTCATGGATAGTCCCTCTCTCATCTCCTACATGGTTCCACAACCACCTGGGGAACCTACACTGACAGATACAGATTCCAGCCAGGCACGGTGACAGAGACCTGTCATCTCAGCTGAGGCTGAGGCAGGAGGATTCAAGGGCTGCTGCAGCTCCAGGGTGAGTCCAAGGCTAGCCAGATGACTTAATAGGACCCTGTCTCCAAACAACAGAAACTAAAAAGCGAATATTCAGCGGTATACTGCTTTCCTGGCATGTGTGAGGCTCTACATTCAATTTCTGGTTTCTCCCCTGAGACTGCGGCTGAATGGGTCTTTAGAAGGCCCAAGAACTGCATTTTATCCACACCACGTTCTACCCACTGGGATAACCATCCAGATGAAAACTGCGTTTTAGTGAGCAGCCATCCTCTGAAACATAGAAGCAGGTGGTTTGGGGACTATCTGAAAAACCCAGTTCAAAGCCAGCAGCTTAGCCTCTGGACTGCTTCACCTAGTATGTAGGAGGCAGTCAGTGCACAGGGATGCGTTCAGAGGCCTCTCTCCTCCCCACACTCCCAGAGGACAGGAGGGGGCTGGCCCAGCTTCGCCCTGTATTGTGTAACGCTTATTTACTTTTCTTGCAGGACAATTCTTCGGACGGAAAGTCAGTTCACGTGGGCTGACTCATACGTAAACCCGAGTTGCTCCCCCCTTCCTGGAGCTCCCCATAGTTTCCTCTTGGCAAGAGGGGAAGCTGAGTTCTGGAAGCAGGCACAGAAAAGGGTCCAGGGTGATTGACTCATTGAGTCTTCTTGCTCCCGAGTCACCCCTAGAGCCTCTCCTGCCCAATGGGTAGCCCCACCCTGTGGTCACCCCAGGAGGACAGGCTCCCATGACTCCATGCTACCCTCCCTAGACTGTGGTATGCACCTGTACAGTTGTGTATGTTGCCAAAATATAGACAACTCCCACTACAGTTAAACGGTGATTGCTCTGGTCCCAGGGCCCTGGCACTCTCCCTACATGGCCTGAGTCTGAAGCTCAGACTCCTCTGGGACTATCCCTGGCCCTCTCACACTCACCATGAGAGTTTCTCTACAAAGAGGTCACCCTGTCAGGGCTCTAGAGTGGCTCTAGGTGGGGCTGAACAGGCTCTGCCAGGCACAGCATCCCTGCAGGACAGATTGCCCTGTCTCCTGTCTACGCCCAGTTGCTTCTTCCTGCCTGCTGTCAGGCTCATGCAGACCAGTGCAGCTGCATTCTTGGGTCAGTGTCTAGGGTGTGAATGACCCTGGGGCTAGTCAGGTCAGAAGGTCAGGGCCTTGTTCCCTCCAATGCCCAGAACCCCAAGTGATAGATGAGTCAGGCTACACAAGACGCAGAACTGGAAATCAAACCAGATGTTAGCTTGAGGCCCATCTGTGTTTAGCCGGGCGGTGGTGGCACACACCTTTAATCCCAGAGGCAGGTGGATCTCTGTGAGTTCAAGGCCAGGCTGGACCGACAATCAGAGAAACCCTGTCTTGTAAAACAAAAAACAAACAAACAAACAAACAAACAAAACAAACAAACAAACAAAAAACCCAAAAGCCAATTTAGCCATTCTTCTAGTTGTATGACCTTGGGGAGGTGATTTGTCCCCTCTGTTAAATGAGAAGAACTTGGGAGCTGAGATGTCCAGTCTGAGTTCTTTCATCTCCTTGTGGTGTATCTTCAAGTCTCTTCAAGTATCTTCAAGTCTCTGAACCCCAGTTTCCACATCTGCAAAACGGGAGCATCCTGATAGCAACTCCATAGACTCAATGAAGATGTAAAACAATGAAAGGTAATGAAAAGCACATCGCCACAGCCAATTATCCTGTGAGCCTTGACTCAAGCACCCAGCTGCCAAACCCTGATGGAAATGATGAGCGAGCTACCGCCTCTCCATGCTTTTCAGCTGTAGCCGTCTGATCATGACATGCCTCTCAGGGCAGTTCCTGGAGACTCAGGACCATGTGCTGGCCAAGCTCCCTCATCCCCACTGCTGCCAGCATTAACCATTTGCTGGACAAAGACCATGTTTGGTATTCTCACCTAGTGAATAAGTGTGACCCCAGGGAAGACCTCCAGAGCATCAGGCAAGAGTTAAAGAAGAGGTTTCTTCATTCATTCATTCATTCATTCATTCATTCATTCATCCATTCATCCAATATTTACTTACTCATTTAGAGATAGGATTTTATGCAACCTAGCTGGCCTCAAGTTCCCTTTGTAGGCAGGCCAGCCTCAAGCTCACTACACAGCTGAGAATGACCTTGAATTTCCAATCCTCCTGCCTCCACCTCCTAAGTACTGGAATTCCAAGAGTACCTGGCTTGTGTGGTGCTAGGGATGGCAGCCAGTGTGTGCTAGGTAAGCACTCGGTCAACCATGCCACGTCCCCAGCCCATCACATCACCCAATACTTATTAAGCAGATACAAGTCAGGTCCGGGCTCCTCAGTACATGATATCAGGGTGGGGGCCTCAGAGGCCTTTGCTGTGGAGAAGCAGGATGAGGGTAGGAGATGGGGTAAGTTCAAGGTCCCCGAACAGCAGCCCAGCAGACAAAGGGGCGGTGCACGCGAAGACGACACTGAGTGGGAGCCTGGGACCCTGTGGGGGAAGTGGTCAGACTCAAGGATGAGGGTGTCGGGGTAGAGAAGACCTTCAGCTATAGGCACGAGGTCCCTCAAGTCCTCCTGCATTACTCACCAGAGAAAGAAGTGGACCCATGGCCCCTTGGGCTTCCTTCTTGTGCAATCATCCATTTGCATAGCACCGTCTGTCTGTCCAGCCCACGAGTTACAAGACACATCCTGTGTGCCAGGCCCTTCTCATTGGGAAGATGGTGGAATGGGAAAGCAGGCAGCCACACTGAGTTTTTCTCTCTCTGGGTTCATACATTTGCATATCCTTGTGTTTGCATGGGTACATTGCACACGTGTGTGCATGGGGAGGCAACCTCGGGTAGGTGTTCCCCAGGCACTGTCTACATTGTTTGCTTTTAGTTTTTTTGAGATAGGGTCTCTCACTATGACCTGTGCCTTGCTGCCAGGCTAGGTAGCCTGAGAGCTCCCAGGGATCTGTGTGTCTCTGCCCTCCACCAATGAAACTACAGTGTGCTCTACTGGCCTCATTTTAAAAATTATTGAGCTGGACAGAGGTGGTCCATACCTTTAATCCCAGCACTTGGGAGGCAGAGACAGGCCTATATTCTAGTTCAAGGCTAGCCTGGTCTACAGAGTGAGTTCCAGGACAGCCAGGCTACACAGAGAAACCCTGTTTTGAAAAAGCCCAATAAATAAGTAAAAATAAAATAAAAATATATTGTATTTATCTTTTGCTTATATGAATGGGTGTTCGGCTGCATGTGTCTATGTGCGCCACCTGTGTGTCTTGTGCAAAAGAGGCCACTGGATCTCTGGAATGGGAGTCATAGCCAGTTGTGAGCTGCCTCATGGGTTCTGGGAAATGAGCCTGGGTCCTATGCAAGAGTGGCAGATGCTCTTAGCTGCTAAGTCCAGTCCAGTCCCAGCCCCAACTTTTATGCAGGTGCTGTAAATCAGGTCCTCATGCGGAACAGATGCTTTACACACTGAGCTGTCTCCCCAGTTGCTTCCCACCCTAAAAAAAAAAAAAAAAAGACAAGAAAGAAAGAAAAAACTCAAGTGCCACCCAGTCAGGGAGTGCGGGTAAGTGAGCAACCTCCGTAGCTGGAAGGTGTGCCGACAGACGGGATGTCACCAGGAAGGAAAGCCTGTGAGGTAGTGTGAGTGGGCCTGATTAAAACGCATCTCTGTCTCTGTGACCATCCTGCCAGGATCTGCCCATTAAGTCGGCGTTGACTTTTGTCCCCTCTCTGCTGAGCTCAAACATTCCAGCCTGGGACCCGGTGGCCAAGTGCCCATTGGCTTGTTCTCGGATCACAGATTCAGGGCTTAATCCCAGGCCTGGGCCAAGGTCCCAGACCGATGAATCAATCCCAGCTCTGGGCAGACCTCCCTCCTCCCAGCCCAGGGTCCTGGCACCATCCTTGCATGTGGACGGGCCACCCCTATCCTCACCAAGGGTGCCTCCCCTGCTACTTGTGGGAGGAGCCCTATCCAGGGACTTCCCCAGCCTGAGAGATGCTGCTGAGATTTTGCTTTGCATTTCTGAGGACTGAGCATGAGGCTTCATGAATGCAAGCGTCCTTCTGAGCTATATCTCCAGCCTTTTAAAATATTTATTTATAGGTAGGCATAGTGGCCCATGCCTTTAATCCTAGCACTAGGGAGGCAGAAGCAGGCAGACCTCTTTGAGTTCAAGACCACCTAATCTACATAGTGAGTTCCAGGACAGCCAAAACCACACAGCAAGACCTTGTCTCAATAAACAAAACCAAGAGAAAACAAAAAGATAAGTAAATATTTACTTGTTTATTTATATTTTGTGATAGGGTCTCACTAAGTTGTGTAGCCTGGCTTTGAATTTACGCCGTATTCAGCATTGGCCTTGAACTTTACCCTCCTGCTTCAGCCTCTAGAGTAGCAGCAATCACAGTTCTGGGCTACCAGAATTTTTTTTTCTTTTTTCTTTTTTTCTTTTTTTTTTCGAGACAGGGTTTCTCTGTGGCTTTGGAGGCTGTCCTGGAACTCGCTCTGTAGACCAGGCTGTCCTCGAACTCACAGAGATCCGCCTGCCTCTGCCTCCCGAGTGCTGGGATTAAAGGTGTGCGCCACGACCGCCCGGCTGGCTGTTTATTTTGCTTTTGTGGAAGGGCCATGTAAACTTGACCTGCTGTGTGTTGGGCTTTGTCATACTGAGTAGCTCTAGAGAGTCAGCTGGTTGGTGGGGACAGAGGACCTGGAGTCTGCTCTGTGGACATGGCTTTAATTGTTCAGCCCATGGCATTCTGTGATCAGAACAAGCCTGTGGACAGAATCCCACAGGAAGGTTGAGGACCCCCCCCACTTGCGCCCTGTCCTTGTCACAGGCTCCTGTCTGCTCTCTGGGGGTGACCCCGCCCAGGAATGGGATTCTCCTTCCTCTGGTTGCACATTCTCCTCGGTTTCCCCTCCATCCACAGAAGTCTTCCTCGGGACCCTGTCACATGTAGCATTTATCTGGGTTTCAGATCCAAGACCTCGCCCCTCACCTGTCTTTCTCATTCCCAGCACTGCAGGGGACTGCGTGCTTCCAGGCTCCTCCTCCTTTCTGTTCCCAGACTCCTCCCTCCTCCCTCTCCCTCCTCCCAGGCCTTGCTTTGGGCTCCTCTTCCTCCCTGTCTTCAGGCCCGTCTTCATCTCTTCATCCTCTCTGTTCTCAGGATACTCCCTCTTCCCCGTCTCCATCCTCCTTCTCCCCCCCCCCCCACTTGTTCCTTAGTCTATTCTAAGCCCAGCAGCCAGAGGCTGAGCAGACGGCCCCTATTCTCCTCCTCAGCGGCCTCCCTGGGAATACACCCCTGCCTCAGGACCTTTGACCTCCTTAGCCTGTGCCGGCTCGCCCCACTCAGGTCTACGCTCTGCTCTTTACTGCCCCACTCAGGTCTACCCTCTGTGCTTTACTGCCCCAGCCCCTGCTCAGTGGAGTGTGATGAGCTCACTGCTTGTCTCTCCCTGCACCCGGGGCCCAGCTGTGCTGTTTGCTTCTCAGAAACTTCCATGCCCAGCACCTGCCCGGCTCTCCCTCAGCACGTACTGAATCTGTGTTCCACTTTTGCCCAGTGATCGGGGACACTGAGACCAAAGCCAGGGCCCAAACCCCTGCCCTCCCGCACTGATCTTGAGAGACAGGGAACTGGTCCATCTCTCCGTTTCTGGGGAGCTCAGGGTGTGGCAAGGAGGGGCAGGGGAATAGCAGGATCCTCCCCTCTCACCATCATCAGGCTCCAAGCTTCACTGTAGGATCATGGAGGGAGGGGGCCCAGGATGGGCTGAGCCTTGCGTGTTTGGGGGTACCGTGGCAGTGCCCAGCT